TGAGTTCTTTGAACAGTCCTAGTATGAACTAGGTCACCACAGGCCCCATTTTAACTTGAAAATTCAAAACCAGCATCTCCCCAGGGCCTGTTTCCTTTGTGGTGCAAGACTGACATTTTCAAATTTTGTCATATGAGTAAGCAAAAAGCTTCTAAGTTTAACAACCCTTGTTTAATCCTATATTCCACCAACTACTGCCCTCTTACTCAGCCCATGCCCTCACAGTCAATGGAGAGTTTTCAAACCTTAGCTTATTTGTTGGCAACATTTGACTCTGTCGACCTCCTTCTTCTTGAAATCCCTTTATTCTTTGGACTCCTCAACAACTCTTCTCCCTGGTCCTCTTCCACCTTATCTCCCCCAGTTCTAAACACATCTGCTTATCCACCCAATGCTTGCTATTTTCCAGATAAAAGCTGGCAGCCTATAGCTAGGAAAGAGAGGAGGAGACATCATGGGGACTAGGAATTATTTAGTGCATTGTGGGTTTTTAAAGTCAATCCGTTCAATAGAACTTTCTGTAATTGAGTGCTTGAAATGTGGCTAATGTGACTGAGGAAGTGAATTGTTTTTATTTAATTTAAATTAATCAGAATAGCCACATGTCGTAAGTGGCTACCATATTGGACAGGGTAGTGTAGAGTCTTGCTACCCCAAGGATGGTCCATGGACTAGCAGCTCGTGTATCGCCTGGGTGCCAGTTAGAAACACAGAATCTCAGGCCCCATTCCAGACATACTGGATCAGAATCTACATCTTAACAAGATCACCAGGTGATTCATAAGCACAATAGCATTTGAGAAATGTTGCTCTGGAAGGTTAATTTTTAAAGCATTACAGTGATAGACACCTGTGTATTATCCTAGCATAGCTTCTGGATATTATTGTACTCTGAAGAAGGTTCTTTCTATGAATTTCTACCAAGTCCTCCTTGACACATTAATCAAATACATTGTTAAGCATGTCTTGATGAAGTCCCTCTGGATATGAAAATTCTAAGGTAATTATCATTTCACAAAGCAGCTGAGTTTAATCTCTTGATCTGAGCTACGTGCATTCTTCAGTCTAGTGTGTATCATGTGTTAGTAAAACCACCAGTTCCGTTCATGTGATCTGAGGAAATATTATCTTCCTTTCATAAAGGAGTAGAATAAAGGAGAGAAAAAAAAATAATAAGCCACACGTGCAATAGTCTCCAAAGAGGTAATCAGCTTTTTCTATCCTGACATCAGATCAGTTGTTCTGAGGCATAAGCGATGAGTCACACAAGCCGTTGAAAGGTCTGAAGCTAAAAAGATTCTCGGAAAAGTTTATGTTCAACAAAATGTTTTCTCGTTCTTGATTGAGTGTCGCCATGCTCTGGGATGCTTCCAAGGTGTTGAGACACAGTCACCTAAAAAGAGACAAGACTTCCTGGAATACGGTGAAGCCTCCAGTCGTGGTGGCCTGTGAGATGGTCACTTCAGGCAGTGGGGCAGGTCAAGAAAGGAGCGCTGGCAGTCTCAGAGGCAGGGCGTCTGTGTGGCCGCTACTCAGACTGCCTCTCTCGGCTCCATTCCTTCTCCTGTTAAATGATGTATTTGGATTCGTTAGAACCTTTTTTAGGTCAATTCCAGCTCTGGCTCAATCCAACGCTGGCCCCTGAAAACTTGTCAGAATGAAATTAAAATGATTAAATAATTATCTGTCAAAGAAGGATTATTCCATAGCCACTCTTCGAAAATCATATACATGTATACACTCATTCAACAAATATTGAATTCATTCAATAAGTATGTGCTAGGCACTGTTCTGGGTACTGGGGAGTAACAGTAAACAATACAGCTAGGGTCCAGTGAAATACATCTTTAGGAAAGTGGTAAATAAATCAGCAGAAGCTAATTCTCAAACCTTGTTTATGCTCCCAAATCATTGACTGAGACTTTGAAATGCAGGCAGGGTGCCCTGTTTGATCTAAAAGTCCAAAAGCTAAGGATATTGAGAGACTAGAGGCAGCATATTTCAGCAGATCAAAAGGCAGGCCGTAAACCCGCAATGAACAATTAAGCAATAAAAACATCTGGTGAAAAGTCATATGCAAAGAATTCAAATAGGGCAATGTGATAGTCCCTGAGCAATTGCCTAACACTGTGGCAGTCAGAGAGGGCTTCCTCAAGGAGGTGACATCAACGCTGAGAACAAAATGACAAGAGGCAACCTGACATGTGGAAGGAAGGGAGAAAAGCACTCAGGGCAGAGAGACTGACAGATACAAAGTACACAATGCACAAAGACCTCGGTGGGCTTGGGGAGGGAAAAAGAAATCCAAGGGATAGAGCGTGGCGTGCTACAGATCAAGGTTGAGCATGTTAATGGGGGGCTTTGTGGACCAGTAGAGAGTTTTTAATGTCTCATCTCAGTCTCTCTTGCTCTACTTAAGATCATTTATTCTTTTATCACACGTAGAGAACACTCTGCCAGGAAACAGTATACGTTTATACATATTTGAAGACTAATGTCTATGGTTCTCTACCATCTTAGACTTTTGTGTGCCAACTTTGGTTTCATTATTTGAGACTTTATCTCTACTAGAAAATAGATGCCAGAGAATATTGAATTTAAAAAAATGGGCTTCTTGCAACATGCTTGTTTGATGCATTTCAGTTTGCTTGGTACCTGAAGATGCTCAGAAATGCTGCTGTTGGTCACCTTCCTCAGGGGGAGGAGTGAGAGGGACAGGGGAGCGATGAAATGGTCAGTCAGACTCTTCTCATGTGAAATCTCACATCCATAGAAGAAAGTTATGCTGTGCCCGAGAGACAGTGAGACAGAGTGAGATGCACATAAACACATACGGAGAGAAAGGAAGAGAGGGACTGAGAACACGGGTGCCTAGAGTGGGCAGAGGTCCAAGTTCCAGGTGCTGCCACCAGCATGTAGGTTGGCTTAGCCTCAGAGTGTTTTGAGTCGAACAGGGCACCGAGCGTGGCATTTTAATGTCTTGGTTAATGTCTTATGAGTGTAAACAGCTTTGAGAATTAGCAGTTGCAGATTGTGTTACCACTTTCCTAAGGATATTTCACAGTAGCAATTTAACCACTCTAGAAAGACAAGCCACCGCCCACCCCATTCTCCTGTAGGAGCAGAGATTGCCCACCAATGGCCATCTCAAATGGTACCTCCCATGGATGGGAAAGCTGGACAAGATGGTGACATCTACAGCAGCATCTGCTTTGGATTTGCTTCTGCAGAGCACAGATTGACTTTGTCTTCTGAAAACTAATTTAGGCTAACCACCAATGCGCATGCCTTTCTCTAATAGTTTGAGGGGGGAAAAGGACTACGTTTACAGAAGAATTTTAATTCTCCAGGATTTTAAAATATACTTCTAGTTAAAGATTAAGGTCCAGTCCAAAAATAAGATTTCAGATATCACAGAGAAGATGGAAAATTAAGCCATTGACTGCTAATGTGTCTACAAGAGACTATCTCAAGTTCACCATGTGTGCATTGTGGTGCAGTGGACAGGAAGGCTTGGAATGGGGGACATGCTTTTCATCCCTATCTGCTCCCTAACTAGGCCTGCAGCCTTGTGGTAATTTCCCGAACTCTCTGAACTACCGTGCCTTCATCTGTTAAATACGAAGATTGTACTATTCTGGACTAGGTGATTTCTAAGCTCTCATATTCAGGTTTTGTTATTTTTCTTTAAAATCTTGTCACTCCTGAAGGAAAAAGAGCTGAATTCTGAGTATAGTGGGAAAAATATGGAATGCCCACATTTTTCTGTTTTAAATACAATATACACACATTTTAGTACTTTGAAATCCTTGGGTCGTCAATGTGAACAGTTAATTATGTGCTGGCAATAGTTCTGACTTATAGCTGTTTTATTTTCATGCTCCACTGTTGGTCGTATCTAACTTATCTCCCAGTTAGTCCTTTATTAGACAAGCAACCTATAAATATAGCATGGTTTCTATGGGAACATTGTTTATCTTGAAGATTCCAGGAACATGTTTTATCTGAAAAATGAGGCCTGCCAGATAATATGTTGAAATCCAGGCCTATAACCCAGATTTGGAACTTTAAATTAATCTGATCTAAGGAGATATTTAAAATTGCTTCCCTGTGAAATTTTTCCAGCTGAATTGAATTGGTGCAAATTTGCTTTTGACAATAAGAGTTGGAAATCTCATCTTTCCACTGAGAGTTTTTCTTGAAATGATTAAGCGTATGGCTCCATTATGTTTAGATTCTGATGTTTTACATCTCTGTGGGCACAAGCACTGTTGGATGATTGTGTAGGAGATGGCACAAGTGGGGACAATACTCGATCTTTTCCAAAGCAGATGAGAATTCTATCAATTGTTACCTAAATGTAGGCCATAATGAAGTTGCTTTACAGATAATAGAGTTTCAGTCCTTTTGAATTCCTGTAGCTGAACAGAAACATGATTTGGGGCTGGGTTTGCCTGATATTGTTGAAGGCATGTTGGTCTCTTGCATCTTTAGGTCTACCAAACCCAGTAATTTCTTAAAATCATGCTTTGAGGTCTTAACACAGTGAAGATGACTAGGAAGTTAAGACAGGAAGTGAGAAGGTTGATGTAAGAAATTGTAAGACTTTTTGAGAAAAAGGAAATGAGCCCTCTTGTTGAAGTTACATGACCAGAGGGTTGAGCTTCAAAAGGAACCATATTTCCAAATGGCACTTACTGAGGGAAAGGAGTCTTTGGAAATGGAAAACTGGAGATATAAATATTTTGAGCTTACTGCTGAGAATATGAAAGTCTCACAGAAAGTAGTCCTTTAGGTCATTCTTATTCTGAATGTGAAACATTTTGAGTAAAACATACAAGTATCGTAAGAAACAGCATTGGTAAAAGACTCTGTTTTTCACATTAATAAGAAAAATTCCTGCAAATAAGTCATTGATAGCGAAAATAAAACTCTTTACTTATAGGAATGATTTGAATCTGTTTTGCCACCAGCTGTAGAAATAAACATCCTTTTGTGGCCTAGATGGTTTATCTGGGTCCTCTATCTTGACTGCATAACCTCGGAAGCCTTCAGTCTAAAGCTTGAGCAGTTCCACGGCTCATCTGTTATTCACCCCATGATTTCTCTTCACTGTTGTTAGTGAACTGTTGATTCTAACAAATTGCTCTTATTGACTGAAGTAGATAATCAACAAATGACCAGGATGCCTTGAATCTTCTACCAGAAGCAAACCATAAGAGGAAAAGAACAAGTAAGTAGTTTGGGTAGCTATTTGTTTCTGGGTAGAATGCAGATCTAGACATTTCAGTACTTGGTTTTAATGAGCAAAGAGATATCTAGAAATCGTAGGCTGTTGAAGGATGATGGGGGGGGAGGGTGTCATAAGGGTGGGGTCCTAAGGGAGAGGAAAAGTGATCTAACTTATTCCTTCTCTACCAATTTATCCGTATGAATTTAAATACTCATAGGGTGATTCTGAGAAGTAACTAAAAGAGAATGGGATCTTGTGTTTATGAAATATCTTTGTGCACATTATGGACGGAGAAGTGGCATTGATACTTTGATGGCTTATTCTATGTCAGGGAATCTGTTAGATTCTTCATAGACACAATCTAACTTACTTCTTACAACAAACGTTCTTGCAAAATAGACCCTCTCATTCCTATATTTACAGTCGAAGAGACAACCTTAGAGTTAAGTATTAGTTCCATGATTAGCCAGCTCGTAAGTGGTAATGCAACCCGTTTCCAAGGGTCGCACTGCCTTAGGAGATGCGTCCATTTAAACTGTGGAACTGACAAATCATCTAGATTTTCATTGCTTTAAAGTAATTTCAAATTGAAATCTTGTCTGCTTAGACTTTAGGACTTCCAAAATTTTAAAACTAAATCAGTATCGTATTTGTTGTTCATAAGTCATGTAAAACTATTCTGTTAAAAAAAGTGTATTAAGTATTACTTACTTTACGTATATGTACTTTGCTAAAATGCATATTTAGCACACAAATTTATATTGTTATGCAAATTATAATTATGTTTTTAAGTTACAATAATATCTTATGTGAGGATAGTAAATATGCCAGGTCCAATATGATTTTCCACAAACAAAAAGTGTAGTTATTCTTCTCTAAAAAGATTCCATAGTAGCAGAAGAAAAACTCTAAGATATACGATGTTCACTGTGGAATAACTTCTCCATCGAATACAAATCTCAAACTCTGCTTCTGGCCAGGTGGGTAGCAGATACCTGAGGAAAATGGACGTGGACCCTTCCAGAGAGGAAAGTCTGACCTGATGACACCTGGGTCTCATACTATCAAATCAAAGGTCTGAAAAAGCTTTTTTCTAATTGTCAGATACTTATTAAATACTTACTGATCCAACAACAATTTGATGTAACATAACTGTGTATCTGCCGCTATGTAGAGTGAGGAGGAAGACGTAAAGAATGCCTTTTTGTTTTTGTTGTTTCACTTTAAGAATTATAACTTACACAGAGCTTTTCTTTGTTCAGTTATAAAGCTGTCTCAAGCACACTAACTCATCTGATTTTCCAGTAAACCTTGAACAAAGGCAGTACAGCCTTTCCCATTTCACAGCTAAAGCTCGGTAACACTCCCACGTAACACTCCCACAGTGACTCAATGGCAGAGTTGGTACTTGTTTGAGAATGGCAGCTGTCTTTCTGCTACACAATCAGTGCTCCTTATGCATCCATACCTGAAAAAGTTAAATAAAAACTAAACAGAACCCACCCTCAAACCCCAGCTTTTCATCCAAATGTAACACACGAGTCCAGGAAAAGAGTCAGGGTTGGGAAGAAGAAAAGAGGGCAGGTAATATAATATTGTATGCTGCTCCTTGCTGAAAAGTTGTTCAGAGAAAATATTTTGAAATGTTGTCTGATACAGCTTGTTACAATAATTACACATGATTTATGAGGTCTTCTCTACAGTGCCCCAAATTGGATTTCCTGACAATACGAGGGACAACCTTTAGACATCTGAAATGAATATGCATTAGGTGTATACTGACTCTGCATTTATTTGAAATTTTGTTTATCATGAATTTTGGCATTAATTTTGATGTTTAAAAATATTGCATTAAAATATTATTTATTTTGATTACTGAGTCTTTGGCCATCCCTTAAATTTTATGCCAGAGGCTAACGTGTCTCATGGTAATCCCAGCCCTGGTATGTGAGCTTAAACAAAGCTGTTTGTGGACTATCTGGGGGCACACTTACAAATTTTATCCTCCAACAAACTTATTTTTGTGATTTTTGTTTCACTCATCTCTGTCTGTTCAATAGATTTGGGTCATTAAGTGGAGTCGCTAACAATATTTATTGGGTACACAGTTTTAGGCTTGTAAATAGTTGACTGGGATTGCAGAACTCAATGCTATTAATGTGCAGTTGCTGTACGGTTTCAACATGTTTGTTATAATTTTGTAAAACTTTTGATTTAGGGCTTTATGGTCTTCTAAGCATTTTGTGGTGAAACATGGAGCCGACCAACACAAGCGCCCCGTTGAATGCTTCAAACTTAGACGTCGGCCACTGCAACGCACACTGCAGGATGATTCTGACCACACTCTACAGTGTGGTTTTTCTTGGAGGCACTGCTGGAGCAGTTATGATGTCACGTATGATGTTGAAAAGGAATACCCAGTCAATGATTGCCACGATCGTTCTCAATATCATAGTGCTACATTCGATCCTCCTGGTCAGCCTTCCGTTCCGCCTCAGCTATTATGTCTTAGTCACCTGGGAGTTTGGATACTTTACCTGCCGATTGGTTAGTAGCATAATATACTGTCATATGTACCTCACCTTTGTTTTCTATGTGGCCATTGTCATATTCCGATTGCTCATCTATTTTAAGAAACTCCAACTGCAACAGTTAAAAAAGTACCATGCGGTAGTTTTAAGCATTATTATTTGGATAGTGGGTAGCCTTATTTTTTTGCCAATATTTCTTTTACTATATGGCACAAGTTCAAGTTACTCAGAACAGCAACGATGCTTTGAGTTCTACAAAGACTTCAACCACAGGGAATTCATCATCTTGAATTACTCTATGATTGCCATTATGATGACAGTGGTGGTGACCCTCTTTCTGATACAGATGGGTGTCATTGTTCAACTCATAAAGGTTCTTTGGCCTGACCTGTGGGCTCATCAAGAGTATAGAGCTCAAATCAAGAGCTGCTTCTTCCTTCTAGTAATAGTCGTCTGTTTTATACCCCACCATGCATTCCGGGTACACTTTCTTCAGAATTATTCAGAGGGAGAAAATTCTGAGTTAGTTCTTTATAATGAAATTTTTGTGGCTTTAACTACTGTCTGTTGCCTGGATATGCTGTGTTTCGTAGGTGGAGTTATCCATTAAATACTCCTATGTCATTTACTTTGTAATTTGTTTCCCATCACGGTGACAAAATAGTTTTAATTGAATGGGTGCTGCTAGCACGATTTCAAAATTTTTCAAGTTCTCTGCTTTTAATCATCACCAAAATTATTTTTCCATGAAAAAGGAATAAATGTTGGTTGTTTCCTTCTCCTCAGAGAACTGTTATCTGTTCGCCCTTAACCATAGAATGTATTCAATCTCCTTAGCGCCACGCAAGTTGACCTCAAACATCCCTTACAGACTCAACTCCTACCTCTTTTGCCTGCAATATTTACTTCTGCTAAGCACACCTATTGGCTTTCCCTATGCACTACTCTCCAGGCTGTTCTACTCTTTGCATTTGCTGCCACTGACTTTTGATCTTAGAATGTTCTTTCCCTCCATCTCTAAGCTATCTATTCTTCAAGGTCCAGAGAACCTGAAGGTGGGAACTCTATCGAAGCTTTAACTTACTCAACTTATAATCAACATGAGATAGCTGCCTCTTGAAAATTACTGATAGCTAGTCATGCTGTAGCTGCTGGCTGTGGTATCTGGAGGAAGAGATTCACTCAGATAGTCAAGAGACTTAGAAGAAACCCTTTCAGGTTGATGGGGCGTTGATGTGGTTTGATTCTGATTAAAGTGTTAGTAGGTACTCAGGAAGCTCAGATGATCTCCCACATCTACCTTCCCAGACTTGGATCCATTAAGCAGAAAAAGAAATTGGAAAAGGTGGAAGGCAGCTGGAGTTGGCTAAGCATGCTGGCAGGCTGTATTAGAGCCCAAACCTTTGAGATTTGGGACTTTTATTAAGCTTTTTCAAGACACCCAATATGATCAAGTAGTGTCACAGTTAAAATCAACACTATCAGCTAATGAGTGTCATTTAAACTCAATGAAAACAACCATGACAACCAACCAATCTGGTATAGAAATTGACATGCACTTAAACCTTGCTCATAATAATGCTACCTTGGAGACTAAATTTAATGAATCAAATAACCAAAACATTGCTCTTACTGGTTCATAAGGCAGCAGAGTTTATGCAAAGGACTTTTGAAGTCATCTGGAGATCTGAATTCAAAACTGTTTAGTAACTATGGAATCTTTGGTGAGGTATTTGTAATCTCTGAGCTCCAGTTTCCTATATTACAGGATTTTGGTAAAGCTGAAATAAGATAACAGCCTGTGTTAAATAGTGGCATAATGCCTGGCATGTGGTATTCAGAATAATATTACTTCTTTTCCTAATTCAGTGACACATTTTGCAAGAAAATTTTAATACATGACCAAAATGTTCATCCATATAGAAATATATTTTAGAGGTTCAGATGCTATTGATCAATGTTGATCTCATGCTTTATGTCACTATGAAATCAATGACTAAATGGATGCTTTTTCCTATTTTTGCCTATAAGAACTTGCCATTATTATTATTACTATAATTATTAGTTATACCCCAAAATACTCTAGTAGTACCATTTTACAATCCTGCCGTCACAGTACAAGATGATTTGTAAGCACTGTTTTAGGGTTCATGGTATGTCTTGAGTAGTAGTCACCTCAAGATTGATTGTGATTACTTATAGTCAGGATATAGTCAGTACCCAACTTACTAATCATAGGGTTGCATGAGCTGGTTTTTAATATGGTAGACAGCCTCTAAGAAGGCCTCCAAAGATCCCTGCCTCCTAATATCCATGCCCCTGTGTAATCTCTCCTATATTGGCTATTGACTTCTTAAGAACAGAACAAGGCAGAATGATGGGGTATCACCCCCATTGTTAGATTATGAAAAGACTATGCCACCCATATTGGGTACTCTCTTTTTCTTGTTCTCTCTTGGATTGCTTCACTCTGGAGTAAACCAGCAGCCGTGTCATGAGGCAGCGCACGTGCCAAAGAATTTTGAGACCATCTAACAGCCATATGAGTGAGCTTAGAAGTGGATCTTCTGACACCAGCCAGTCGCCGTGGAATAAGCTTGGAAGCAGTTCCATTTGAGTCTTGAGATGATTGCAATGCTGGCTGACCTTGACTGCAGCCTCATGAGAGACCCTGAGCCAGAACCACTCAGCTAACCTGCTCCTAGATTCCTGACCTGAAACTGTGCTCATAGCACATCCTAATTCTGAGTAGCCACATTTCAGTAGCCACACATGGTTCATGGTTAAAGTATTGGACAGCACAGGTCCAAATTATCCAGAGATCATCTAGGGTTGTACCCCAGGACCCTTTCCTTACAAGAGATGGCCATGTATCTCTCTGACATTCAGTTTCCTCCTACGTGGAATAGTAACAATAGAACCTACTTTAGAGAGTTGAGATGAAAATACACGGTATTGTATAAGGTGCAAATATCAGTCCCCAGCATGTGGCAAATGTTCGATAAATGGAATGTTATTATTTTTACTGTCCTTGTTGTATATATTGGAAAGAGAAGGACAAGGACAGACAACTCTGTAATCAGATGCCCTGCAATGTTTCTGGGACGCTTTAGCTTGGACATTCTCAACAGAGACCCATTCTTCCTTCCTGCTGACACCCTCCTTCTTGTCTCTCCATCCCACAGCCATCCCTGATCTCAGCTGGCAGTGGGCCTCTGTGTTACCAGTGCTTATCTGACTTAAATGGTCCTTCCTTGGGGAAGTGCTCAGATCCTGTGTCCCAGAGGACTCCTTCCTTTAATCTTATTTGACCCAATCTGTGTTACTTCACCACGAGGTGTTCTCACCTAAGTGTGTAGTTGGTTTCCAGGTATCCATACAAATTACTCAAAATAAAACAAATACATTAAACATGTGTGTGATGGTTAATTTTGTGTGTCAACTTCACTGGCCGTGAGTGCCGAAGTTGAACATTATTTCTTGGGTGTGTTTGTGAGAGTATGTCCAGATGAGACTAGCATTTCAATCAGTGGACTCGGTAAAGTAGATTGCCCTCCTCACTGTGGGTGGGCCTCATCCAGTCTGTTGCAGGCCTGGATAGAACCAAAGGTAGAAGGAGGAATTCACCCCCTTTTTTCCCCGCCTCACTGACCGATCCGGGACATCGCATCTCATCTCCTGCTCTCAGACTGAAACTTAGACCTTGCTCTCCTGGTTCTCAGGCCTTCGGATGTGGGCTGAATTAGCCACTGGTTTTCCTGCGTCTCCAGCTTGCAGAGCAGGCGATGGGACTCAGCCTTCACAATTCCTCATAATCAGTCAGTCAGTCAATCAATCTCTCGCTCGCTCTCCCTCTCTCTCTCTCTTCCTTTGTCCTTTCAGGCCTGGATGTGCTGTGTGCTACTCTCTGCTTCCATCAGTGTCCCTTGCTCTATTTGGGTCATTTATGTTCTTATAATTTTTATTTTAATAATCTTGCTCAAACATCGATGGTTATTTCTTTAGAATTAATACACCTTATTATATAAGTAATACTTGACTATTTTCAGTGCCAGTATCCAAATATTGCAGATACAACTAACGGCTTATTGCATCCAGTCCTTGTCCCCACTCTAGATAAAAACTGCTGTTATCTGATAAGTCTGTATTTTGAGGCCTTTATATATATTTAAATGCATGTAACATTTATATTTTTATAGTAATTGTATTTTAAAAATGCCTGGCACATGGAAAGCAGGTTGTGTTTTTCACAGAGTTTTTGTTTCATTGACGTTTTTAAAATTACTGGCATAAAGTCGTTGTAATATTCCATTATTGTCATTTTAATCGCTATGAGTTTAGGCGTGATAGCCCCTTTTTCATTTGTGACACTGGTAATTCGTGTTTACTCTATTTTTCTTCATCAGTTTAGCTATGAGTTTATCAATTTTATTGATCTTTGTAAAAACCCAACTTTTGATTTTGTCAATTTTCCTTATCTTCTATTTAATTGATTTTTATTCTAACCTTTATTATTTTCTTTCCTCAATTTACTTTGTTATTTCTTTTAGCTCTTAAGTTATAACTTAGATCGTTATTTTAAAACCTGTCTCATCTTTACTTAAATAATATAAGTATTTAAAGTTATAATTTCCATCTAAGCGCTGAATTAGCAACATCCAACAAATTTTGTTACTTTGTGGTTTAATTATCATTCAGCTGGAAATATTTTCTAATTTCCTTTTTCATTTCTTATTTGACTAATGGGTTATTTGGTAGTTATTAATATCCATTAAATGGAGTGTTATTATTTTTAGCATCCTTGCTGTATATATTGGGAAGAGAAGGACAATGGCAGGCAATTGTGTAATCAGATGGCCTGCAATGTTGTCTGTTAGAAGCATGTTGCTTGACTTTCAGGTATTTAAGACTTTACCAAATATTGTATTATTATGCTTATTTCTATTGTTATCGGAAATGTGCTAAATATGCTAAAGCTTCCAATTTTTGAAATTTATTGTGATTTTTAAAAATTCCCTGGGGGCTGGCCCAGTGGCATAGTGGTTAAGTTCACGCACTTGTCTTCAGTGGCCCAGGGTTTGCAGGTTTGGATCCCGGGTGCAGATTAACACACCACTCAACAAGCCACGCTGTGGTGGCTTCCCACATACAAAGCAGAGGAAGATTGGCACAGATGTTAGCTCAGCAATAATCTTCCTCAAGCAAAAAGAAGAAGATTGGCAACATGTGTTAGCTCAGGGCCAATCTTCCTCACCAAAAAAAAAAAAAAACCAAAGAAAGAAAGAACAAAAGAAAAAAAATATTGCCTAGTCTATGGTTCATTGTGGTAAATATTCTATGTACACCTGAAGAGAAGCTATATTCTGTATTTGTCAGTAAATGTCCACTAGGTCAAGATGATTCACAGAGTTGTTCAGATCTTCAATAATCTTACTGGTTTTTCCATACTTGTTCTATCAGTTATTGAGAAAGTGATGTTCGAGTCTCCAATTAAATGAATTTGTCTATTCTTTCCCTCTCTCTTTTTTTTTTTAAAGATTGACACCTGAGCTAACACCTTTAGCCAATCTTCTTTCTTTTTCTTCTTCTTTTCCCTAAAGCCCCCAAGTACATATCTGTACGTTCTAGTTGTAGGTTCTTATAGTTCTGCTATGTGGGATGCCACCTCAGCATGGCTTGATGAGCGGTGCTAGGTCTGTGCCCAGGATCTGAACCAGTGAAACCCTGGGCCGCCAAAGCTGAGCACGTGAACTTAAACACTTGGCCACTGGGCCAGCCCCTGTCTATTCTTTCATTTAATTCAGGCGATTTTGGCTCTGTGTATTTTGAAGCTATATTGTTAAATATATACGCAGGTAAAATATTTATGTCTTTTTGATGAAACTTTTTGTCATCGGGAAATGTCTATCTGTGAAAATACTCCTTGTATTAAAGTCTACTTTGTCTGATATTAGTATGGTCATATCACCTACCTCTGCTTACTGCTTACACTATATCTTTTCCATCCTTGACTTCCAATTCCTCTATATCTTTATATTAAAAAGCTTACCTTTTCAAAAGATGCTGTATATCATGAGGTATTCTAATTTTGCATTCTGAGTCCAGAGAAGTAAGTTAATTGTCTTCTAGAACAATGAAATAGCAATGTTTAAAATAATACAACAAAACTCAGAGTTGTTACAAGGCTGACATTACTATCTACAATGCTCAGTTTTTGCCTAAAATTTACTAGATATGTAAAGAAACAGAAAAGTATGACCTACATTCAGGAAAAAAATGAGAAGTCAATAGAAATCAACTCTGAGTGGGCCCAAATGTTATATTCAGCAAATATTTCAAAGCAGCTACTAAAAAGACATTCAAATAATTAAAGGAAAAGTGCTCAAAAATTAATGAAAATATGATGTCAATGAATATATCAAAGAGGAAACCTCAACATAGAAGTGCAAACTATTAAAAATAGAAATTCTGGGGGTCAGCCCCATGGCACAATGGTTAAGTCTGGCGTGCTCTGCTTCAGTAGCCTGGGTTTGTGGGTTGAGATCTCAGGCATGAACTTACACTACTTGTCAAGCCAGGCGGTGACCCACATACAAAATACAGGAAGATTGGCACAGATGTTAGCTCAGGGTTAATCTTCCTCAAGCAAAAAAAGAGGGAGATTGGCAACACATGTTAGCTCAGTGATAATTTTCCTCAAGCAAAAAGAGGAAGATTGGCAACAGATGTTAGCTCAGGGCCAATCTTCCTCACACACAAAATTAAATTATAAAAACTAATAGTTGAATGACTTATATTTAAAACAAAGGTAATAAATACTCAAAACTCATCACTTCCCCATTGCTTTGTTAAATTTGCCTATTTTACATGCTCTTGGGATTATTTACACATGTCGTACCTGTAGGTGAAAATACTGTACAGTTATGTTTCTCTTAACAGTGAGCACCTTCTGAGAAATGTTGTGTCATTAGGCAATTTTGTCGTTTTGCGAACATCATAGAGTGGACTGACACAAACCCAGATGGTATAGTCTACTACACACCTAGGCTATATGGTGCTATTCTCGCCGGACCACTGTCACATATGTGGTCCATCGTTGACCGAAATGTTGTGTGGTGCATGATTGTATAATGGTGTGCTGGCACACATCCTTTTGTTCAGTGACATCATCTTGGTAACTTGAAATCGACTATGATAGAAATATTTACAATATGGAAATTCTACAAAGGCTGCAAACTTGGGCTTGATTTATTGTTAATGCACATTAAAATTTAATGTGCTATGTTTGTAGCTGTTACATTGTAAATAGCATCAAAAATTGAGAAAAGAGTCTTCCCCTCTTTGAAAACAATTATCTGATTCAGCAAGATGTTGTTCTTGTCATTGATAAGTGGGTGAAGTTCTGACATACATCTTCATTGTTTCACTTTTGTCAAACTCATTAATGTAAATGAAAGTATCCACCAACATTCCTATTGGAAATATATGCACTCATTGATGACATGAGCAACTTCTTTGCTGAATCAGATAGTGAAAAAGCACGTATGCATATTCTGATCTGGCAAGTTATGAATAAATTTTGACCATAAATTGGCTAGGGATACAAGTTTGGCACACACTGTGGGGCTGAGAGTCTAGGACACAACTTCCGTGTTCAGAGTTAGCTGCAGCTACCTGTGTACTACTGGAAATAAAGATGGGCTGTCCCATTTCTGAAATGGGACTATAAACATTTCCCTCCCGACTGGCTTAGTGGTAGGAGCAAGGATACTTGCATCCATAAGGAATTCTATGTGGATGAAAAATTGCTGATAGGAAATCCAGGTCCCAGAATGTGCTGTCCATCAATATGGATTTGGATTTTCAGCTGCCTGAGTGAAATAGGAAATCTTACCTGAGAAATTAACATACAACTTGTCTGGTACCTTAGCTATTGATGGGGTCAGGCACAGCCACATGGAGTATCACTGTGTGGCTGTACTTTCACAGTCTTGGCTCAGGGGCTCACACGAAAAGCAATCCCTGCTGAAGATTAGCTCACAGGCAAAAGTTACAAACATCAAAAAAAAAAAAAAAAAAAAAATGGAATCACTGTGAAGGACAGACAGCAGACCCAACAAATTGGGTAGACTTGTATCCTAAGAATAAGAGAAAATAGAGCAAACCGAAAAAAGGTGTTAAGTGTAATGGATAGAATTCATATGGCAAGAATAGGAGAGCATGTTTTCAAAAAAAGTTACTTTAAAAATATTCGTAGGGGGCCGGCCTGGTGGCGCAGTGGTGAGCACACATGTTCCACTTCCGCAGCCCAGGTTCGCTGGTTGGGATCCCGGGTGCGGACATGGCACCGCTTGTCAAGCCATGCTGTGGTAGGCGTCCCACATATAAAGTAGAGGAAGATGGGCACGGATGTTAGCTCAGGGCCAGCCTTCCTCAGCAAGAGGAAGATTGGTGGCAGATGTTAGCTCAGGGCTAATCCACCTCAAAAAAAATTTTCTTGATATGAGTTCTACAAATGACAATGAAATAAAACACACACACTCCAAGGTCACAAAAGAGAAAGAAAGATAGTCCAGAGGAACTGTCCCAGATTGGAGAAGCCCAAGGAGACATAACAACTAAATGCAATGTGGGACTCTGGATTGAATCCTGGGCCAGAAAAAGGACATTCTTTGGAAAACTCAAAATATTTCTATAAGGTCTATAGAGTAGTTCAGCGTTGTATCAATGTTATTTCCCTGGTTTTGATGATCATTGTACCATGGTTATGAAAGATGCTACCCTTGGGAGATGCTAAGGGAAGTGCGTATGGGAGCTCTCTGTATTATTGTTTCCACTTTTTGCAAAGTCTAAAATTATTTGTAAGTAATTAAAAAAAAAAAAAAAAAGAACAACCAGCGTAGGTGCAGGAGAAGTTGGATAGACAGGCTGAGGGTGGACTTCGGCGAGCCTTCCGCTCCAGTTTGAGGACTGCCCGTTTCATTCTGCAACTCAGGACCAGCGGCGGCAGGAGGCCCCCCCCAGGAGAGAGGATCACAGCTGCCCTTGGGCAGCGCCCCCTGGAGGCGGAGCGGGGCTCCTGCGGGGACGGAGACGGGAGGAGAAAGCTGAAAGAGGGCAGGAGTCTGACAAAGGCAGAAAAACACGCCTTCGTTGTCCCTTCACTGCGGGGCCACAAAAGGTGGACGATTTTCGGGGCTAACTGCGCCTTTAACGGCAGCCTCGCTCCGGGCCGCCCCCGTGTCGGGAGGGCCGGGCCTCGCGGGGGGCGGGAGGGGCGGCCGGAGACGTTGGCGCCCCTCCCGCCCTGCATCCTCGTCCTGGTCCTTCAGCCGGACCAACGCGGGCAGAAAGCGTCGCGGGAGCCGGGCGCCCCAGGTACTCGGACGCGGCGGAGCTCAGCCCACAAAGGCCACGGGCCTCGCTCGGCAAGGGGGCTGACTTAGGTCCTCGGGGGTTGTTCATTCCTGTTCTTTAAACGTCCCAATCTGGCTTGGAGGAGGATCTGTTTTGTGCAAGGCTTGGTGGAGAATCCAACGCCCTTTGCTGGGATGCAGTCTTGCTCGCGGTTCCTCCTCTTTCATTTTCGTGTCTGCTCTCTCACACTGTAAACATGCCTGGCACCATTGAATAGGGCTTTGGGCTCCCCTGATTTAACACCTATGGGAAGTTTATGTCGTGCCCCAAAATATACTAGTGGCCTTGGTCTAAAAATTAAATCTCCTGGGAGAGGGACCCAAGAGAGATCCATGAGCATGTTCACAGACGACTAACACGTGTGCAAATGAACAGAGAGAGAATGCTGCATAATAGTTCAGGGAAACAAGCATAACTATTTTAAGAAACTGTACCTCCTAACATTCTTACCTTGCTTCAGGATTATTGGGAGAGTAAGACCCTATGGCTGCCGTAAGCACTTAGCATAGAGCCTCCAGGAACGTTGGGTCTTCTCTCTCCAGAAAAAGGGAGCATGCATACCCAATATTGCTGAAGGAAAATTTCTATGGTATGTTAAGGTGCTGCTTAAATATATAAAGAGAAGGACATTATTTAAATTTCCTCTTAATTTTTTTCTATTTTTCGTGTGACAGTGGATAAATGGCAAGCAAAAAGAGAGAAATCCAATTACAGGTGGGCATGACATATCAACAATTCTTTACTCAGCGTTGTGGCACTTGAAGATCTTTTACAGCGCCTTCCTTTTGCAGGCAGTCGTCAACAGTCAAAGCCTCTGGGATGAGATGTTGCAGAACAAAGGCCTAACAGGTACTGGGGCTCCCTGTTGTCCAACCAGCCAGAGTTTGAGCCAGGGCACCTCATGACACCCCAGCACAGACAGCGGCTCCACACTTCTGGCATAAAACCCTGCTACGCCCTTGCCCCTGCCCCAGCATTGGGATAAGCTGCTATTCCAGATTCTTTGACTCTGTTCTTTCATAAATATTGTCATTTTCCAGTGATTGATGTTTACCAAGCCTGGTGTGGACCTTGCAAAGCAATGCAAACTTTATTCAGAAAACTGAAAAATGAGCTAAACGAGGATGAAATTCTGCATTTTGTTGTAGTAAGGATTTCATTTCCATTAAACTATTATTTTCTTGTTACGGTAACTGTTTAAGTGTTCTCTTTAAGGGTAGTCTTAAGTTAAACAACCTGCCAACTCTTCAAAGCAGACAATGTTTACTTAGTAATTTTACTATATATTTAATTCTATGGAATCTGAGAATGAACGTCATTTTTATATCATTCCTATAATGTTGAGGTTATTTACCATAGTTGTGAATATTAGAAAAGTTAAAAATGGATATCTGGCTATTGACTTGTTTCTTTTCACCTGATCATATGTTCAGCATGTGTCTCTTAGAATAAGGGCAGCAAATGCTATTTACTGGATTGCATTGGGTAGGACTCTGGGTATTTACCCAGTTACCAATCTTCCAATGGTAGTGATTTTCCTCCCACTTACTTGCCACCCAAATGTGACAAGGGATTAAAACATTGCAGCCAAACTCATTGGACTTCATTGCATTGATTATTCAGTTTATCCACACCAAGGTATCAACTGTTTAGAGCTTTGTTGTCTAATGTGGTGGCCACTAGGTGCCCAGTGGCTTTAGAGCACTTGAAATGTGGCTAGTGGGAGTGAGGAACTGAATTTTTAATTTTAATTAATTTAAATTTAAATTAAAAAACTGATATTCAATTCAGAATTTGTAAAACTTTTAAAGAGGTTGACATTGTCTCCTGAAAGAAAGGTCTGGTAGTTTTTTAACGGGCAGCATTCCATAACAGCCTGCTTCACTCTGAAGAGTCCAAACCACCTGCACGGAGCTGGAATATGGTTCGAGATCTGATTCTTGGCAGGGAGGAAAAACTAAGTTCAGGGGATAGACAATGGGGCACAGTGGGGATTGCTACATACGACGGACAAGGGGTTGGTCTAAGAAGTAAGAAGAAATATCAGAAGGATCTAACAGCTGGTAAATGGATCATGGAGAATCAAGGGTCAGAATTCTTTGAGTCCTGGCAGTTGTCATTAGGGAAGTTTGTCTGGGAGTGGTAGGATCCAAGTTCATGGGCTAGCGATCATGGGAAAACCCCACTGTCTAAAAGGAAATTGAGTTCACTGGGGCGAGACTGACAACAATGCTGTCAGGCTACCTAGAAGGGGACTTGGGCATGAGAAAGCAAGGCAAGAAGTCCTTAGACTCTGAGAAAGTATAGCTTGATGCTGTGTTCCTCGGTGGTTTAGAGTCATTAAATCACTCACTGTTTATAGAGTCTGAGTAGGAACAAACCTGAGTGTGTGTGGGTTGGGCACAGTGGTGGAGGCTGAGGAGTAGAAGGAGAATTAGACCCTGTAGTTTGTTGGGCTGCCCTTTGAGCACAGCTCAGCGCTGTGTGAAGATACGGGTCTTAACAGTGCCTCCTCCCAACCTCAGAGGCTTCGACTGCGTCCTCCCAGTCATACCCCAGCCAGACAGAATTCCTCAGCCTACTCCACAAGGAGTCAATTGTTACTGTATTTATCTCCCCAGGGAAGTGCTAGGAAAGTCTTTCCAAAACGTGTCCTCTTCATTATCCTAGCATCTGTTGAATTTAACAACAAAAAGATTTGTGCATTGTCCCCAAATGTTTTCTCTTCTGTTATTTCTGAGCGCACTCAACAATAGTACCTTCACATAGATTGATGCTGTTTTTCTGCTGTGACCTGCTCAGCAAGGGTCAAAAATAGTCTCCAAACCTCCATTGAGAGCAATGGAGGGGCTCCCTCTGCTGGATATTTTGCTACGTGCAGTTAACCAAGGAAAGGGATCCCTTTTGAACTGAAGTCCAAAATTAAAATCTGTGAAGTTGATTACCTGTTGAAATCCTCATAGGCTGAATGGCCAGTATAAAATTTCTTCTTTTATGTGCCCTTTTAAAATGCCTGAACACTTGTACTAACATTGTATCTATATATATATAAAAATTCAATAAATATTATTTATTTTGGTTCTTTTATATTATTAAATGCTTTAATTAATCCTTTATTATAATATAAACGTTGTAATGATGATACCTAGACTACTTTTAAATATAGTCTTTGATTTCTGTCCTTTAATATTATAGATTAATTCTTGTCATCCCTTCCTTTTTTTTTCAAAAGCAGTAGAAACAAACAAATGAAAAAGAAAATGATGCGGAATCCAATGTGCTAAAAAAAAATGATAACCCAGCCCCTTCAGCTGCCACAGGCTGAGAGACCCTCACATGGCTTCTTCACAGCAACTCTTGTAGAAAACCCTACCAACCACCTCATTTTGACAGCTGGCCCAAGGGATGCTGTGTTAATATGGAGGAACACACTGCTATTTAATATGTAGTTGTTTAGAATCAATTTAGGACAACTTGAAATTTGTGAGGAGACTTTAAGAAAATTCCAGACATAAAAATCAAAGGCTTTGAGATTTGCCAAGCAGTTCATTCAAAAAGCATTTAGTCAGCTCCTTCTTATGTATGGCCCTGTGATTGATGCACGAGCAGGGGTGACGTGCAGAGGCGAATATGACAGACTTGTTGGAGGGAGGACCCTTGAGCTGGGTTGGAAAAGGAAGGGAATGAGCAGGGAACAAAGAAGGAAAGAGTGGGTTTTGTGTAGCAAACTACAAGGAGGTGAATTTAGCTGCAGGTTGGGTACCACGAAGGAGAACCGTGAGAAGTAAGATTGAGGCCAAATGACGCAGGGCCCGAGTTACCAGTATATGCAATTTGGTCCTTAAAACTATATGTACTCAGAAAATGTTGTAGTCAACAAAAAAATAAAAATTGTACGTATCTCTGTGTTTTTTCAACATAATGTGTCAGATGACTTGGATATAGTTTCCTTTATTATTATATGAAATATTTATATTTTTTTCAGGCAGAAGCTGACAGCGTTGTGACTTTGCAGCCATTTAGAGATAAATGTGAACCTGTTTTTCTCTTTAGTGTTGTAAGTCCAATATTTGTCATGTCAAATGCGTTATCAGATTACAATTTACAGTTGAAGAGCAAGTGGCATTGTAAAATTACCATGGAACTTTTCTGATGACAGTAATTGCAGATTTGTTTTTGCCTTAGCTTTGCTTGTCTATTAATATATTTTATAACTTGACCTCTAGGAGTTCATGATGGGTTGAGGAGAGTAGACTACCACACGCTAAGTTGATCAGGGGAAAGAAAAATGAGGTGGTATTTACCTTTCCTAAGGAAATAATCAGAGATTTTATGATGGATTATTATTTACAGGAGTGAAAAATTGGAAATTTCTTAGATACCCAGTAGGAGAGAATCAGTTATGAATATTCATACATACCAATACAAGGAAATATCCGTATGATCACTATTTTGCAATATATATTGCTTTTATCTCTGTATTTACAAATGCATAGAAAGAAGGCGTGAAGAGTATTCACCAAATTATTAACAGCAGTTTTCTGTGTGTGGGGGAAGGATGCGTAATTTAAGCTTTCTTATTTATACTTTTCTATGTTTTCCAAATATTCTATGAAGAACATACAACTTTAATAATCAGAAAAACATAAGAAGTGTATTTTCTAAAAGGAGAGTATGCAGTTCGATGCTAACTTGTGTGACCAGCTACAGCTCTTACAGGGCTGGAGGTTTGGGATAAGAAGAAAGGGCTTCATGGACAGAGCTTGGGCTGTTCCTCCACTGCTGGGTACTTAGGTTATTTTTTTTGATATTAGAAATAATTATTAAAAAACACTTCTTGGATATAACTTTTTGCTTCTGTTAAACAATACCTTGCAGCTATTTCAAGGAACTGAATTACTAAGTTAATTGAATAAAACCATTGCATGGCACATCTTGCTCTAAGTTGGATGTGTAGGATTTGATGGTTTAGGGGGGGGGTCAGCCAGCTTTTTCTGTAAAGGGCCACATAGTAAGTATTATCAGCTTTGTGAAAATACAGTTTCTGTATTGGGTCATAGTTTGCTGACCCCTGGCCTAGACGTAGTTTAGGGAACCAGAATGAGGAGACCCTAGCAACGGTAGCAATTAGGAACATGGGACTGAGCAAGAAAGACTGGGCAGGTAGCCCACCATGCAGAGTCTGGAGCTCTGGGACAGCCATCACTTCGCCAAGGGTCTGATCAGTAGATCCATGCCCATCCTCCTCAAATGGACCATCCACCTCATTTGGTGAATAACATCTTAATTTATCTAGTTTCTCGACAGAAACAGAAAAGTCATCTTAGTGACTTCTTCCATCACACCCAACCCACACCAGACTTTGGACCTGTCAGTTTCACCAGCTGAGTCTTTCTCACACACATCTGCTTCTTTCCATTCTTTCCATCTCCATCCCTGTTGCCACAGACTGAGCCACCCTCCCTCTCATCTTCCCCTCGATTTGTATATAAGCATCTTCTCCTGCTTCCCTCTAACCCTTTCTCCACATGGTCGGTGAAATGATCTTTACAAACAACAGTTCTAATTGTGGTCACTGCTCTGTTTAAACTTTCCAAAGGCATATTCCCTTCCAGCCTTAGGACCCTTACATCTCTATTCCTTTTGCCTAAAATGCTCTTTCTTCTCCATTTTGCCTAGTGGTCTCTTAGTCCTCCTTCATATTTGAAACCAAGAATCACTTCCCGATGTTGATAAGTACCTTTGCTGATCTCCTTGACTAGGAAAAACTCCTGTAGATGCTCCCAGTGCTTTGTACCTCCCTTGGTTGGACCCATCATGTTTGTTATTTGGCATGTGTCTGTTTGTGGGTTTTTTTCTGTAATTTAATTAAGTCAAGTACCAGGCCTATTATTCCATATCATCATGCCTAGCACTATGCCAGTAAACAGGTTTTGGTAAATATGTGTTGAAAGACGGACATAAGGGGAACAGTATCAAAAATTCACAGGGAAGGCAAAGTTGGGAGGCTGATACAGAACCACTGAAATGTCACTCAGAGATGCCTTTCCTTTGGTTGTGGGAGGACACACAAACTGGGGGCAGAACTCAAAGAGCTGTGGGTGACCAAATCGAGACATCCTTTCACATCACTAACACCCCATTTTAAAATGGCTAACTGCAAAAGTGAAGAAAGGATTGGTGGGGGTGTGGGGAAGTGGGGGACTTAGTCCAGTTAAAGTGTGAATTCTTGACTTTTTCTCAAAATGAAAGTTTCCTTCATGTTTTCTTTTCCCTTGTAGAATGGGAAAATTATTTCAAAGATTAAGGGTGCCAATGCACCGCTCGTTAATCAAAAAATCATCAACTTGATCAATGAGGAGAGGAAAATTGCAGCAGGTGAAATGGCTCGCCCTCAGGTAACACTTTGGATTACTATTTTATTTTAAAAAAATGAATGATATGTTTTTTGTTGTTTTCATAAAGCTTTTTCCCTAATTACTTAACTGTCTGGGTGTCTAAATGGTGCAACTTTTCTGGGAAATATTTTGGCGATAGGAATCAAAGTCCTTAAAAAACACTGTGTCATTTGAGAAATTACACATGAGTAATTTTCCCTAAGGAGATAATAAGACAAGTACAGAAAAGAATGTTTATTGCAGTGTTGTCTATGTCATTAAAAATTTGGAATGAATCTAAATACCTAGCAACACTGACTAGATTACATAAAATGTCTGTAATTTATATCATAAGTTATACAAATGCATACAGTGGAGTATTATTTAGTGTGTTGAGCTCTGTATTTATGGATATGAAAGGAGGGCCAAGAGAGACTAATGAATGAAAAAGAGAGTACAGCTTAATAGGATACTTAGAGAAAGATCCTCTGTGTGTTTGTGTGTGTGTGCGTGTATTACCTGTGTAATGTTGGTATTACCTAAGTAATAAGAAAGAAAATATTTTAAAATTAAGAAATGAACCGTAAAGCATTTGGAGGTGTGAACATAACAGAGTAAGAAAGTAAGCCACATAGTGAGGTATCTTCTTTGGATTTCTTCTTTGGCCCACTGGTTGTTCAGTAGTATATTGTTTAACCTCCACATATTTGTGAATTTTCCAATTTTCTTCTTGGTAGTTGATTTCTAGTTTCATGCCATTGTGGTCAGAAAAGATCCTTGATTTGGCCTAATGTATGATCTGTCCTAGAGAATGCTCCATGTGCACTTGAGAAGAATGTGTATTCTGCTGCTTTTGGGTGAAATATTCTGTAAATGTCTAAGTCCATCTGGTCTAATATGTAGTTTTGGTGCAATGTTTCTTTATTGATTTTCTGCCTGGATGGCTTATCAGTTGCTGGTTCTGCAAACCCATGAACACCAGCCCTGCTGGACACCAGAGTCAAGCTATCAAGAGATGTGTCCTCTGGGCAGCAGCCACAAAAGCCAAGGTGCCAGATATGTGCTCCAGCCATCTTCACATGGACACCAGCAACTTGGAGCCAGGCAGGGGGAGAGCACAAAGATGGTACCTCAGGTCCTCTCTGGTTTCTGGAAAGAATTGCAGTTGACCCCTAGATGTGTGTCAAACTAGAACCCTTACCTTCAGGCTGCAGCCCCCAAGACACGAAAATAGGATTCTCTCAGGGAACATCAGGAGTTGGGTGCCTCTGACTGCTGCCTCTCCACTGTGCCCTGAGAGGGATAGCTGGTTGAGAACTGTTTCATTGTTTGCTACAGTCTTGTAGGATCTGTGAATGCAATATCTGCTGACCACCAGAGCCCGGAGACTGGAGGCTCATCCCCTGGGCAGCAGCTGCAAAAGTTGGGGCGCCAGCCATGTGCACAAGGTCCCTCCAGGGAGATCCTGACCACCTGGAATGGGAGCAGAGGGAGAGCGTGAAGATGGCATCTCTGGCCTCCCTGTCTCAGGAGAGGGTTGCAGGTGGCCCCTAGATCTGTTTTAAGCTAGGAGCCAGACCCCCAGGCTTTTAAGATTTCCAAATAAGCCTCTTTCAGAGAAAAACTGGGCATTTTGGTCTCCTGCCTCAGCTCTGAGCCCTGGGAAGATTGCCACAGCAAGTCCTTGCAAGCTTGTGAAGAACTGTTTCTTCACCATGGTATCCCAAGCCCCAGCTGGCTTTCAGAGCTAGGTATTTTGGGGGCCCATTGCTTTCCATTTAAGTTGGAAGTCTTCAAACTTGGGGTGCTAGGTAGTGGGTCCAAGCCCTTCACTCCTCAGGGAGACACTGGAAGTTGTAAGTTCCCTCTGGATTGTATGTCGCTGTGCTAGGGGTGGAGTTTATGACAAGATTGTGTCTCAGCCTCTCTCACCCATTTCAATACGGGTTTTTCCTCATTTGCCTGATGTGTAGGAGTTGCTCAGCTATTTTCTGGATCTGTTTCAGAGGGGATTGTTCCGTATGTAGCTGTAGATTTGGTGTGTCTGTGGGAGGAAGTGGGTTCAGGAGCCTCCTATGTTGCTGTCTTGAACTGGAACCTCAACAAATCTTATGAGACAAATAAGATAAAGCTTAAAAACATTAAGTCATTTCCCCAGAAACAGGCAACTAGTAGGTGGTGAAACCAGAATTTAAAGTCAGGCAGAATGACTCCTAAACATATTCTCTTAATTGCTGCGTTCTATCCAGCTTTCTCTCTGTGTTCTCTGTTCTATGGTTTTATTGTTGTTATTCCTGCAGAATGTCATCCTGTTTTAATTAATAACAGTGGGTATATAAGAAATTTATTAATATCTTATATTTATGTTATATTATTCCATATTGTTGGAGACTTCTGTTATTTAGCTTTCTTATCCAATTGTCTTGTCTAGCACAGCCCTAACAGTAATAAAATGCAAGCCAACATGTGAGCAAGATACGTAATTCGTAAAGTTCTACTAGTCATATTAAAGACAATAGAATAGAAAAAGGTGAAATTAATTTTAAAAAACATCTTTTATTTAATCCAATATATTCAAAAGATTCCCATTTAAAGATGTACTCAATATAAAAAATAAGGTACTCAGCATTCATTTTTTTCACATGAAATCTTTGGAATATGCTGTGTACTTTTCACTTATAGAGCATCTTAATTTGGACTAACCTCATTTCAAGTGCTCAGAGAGCCTTATGTGGTTAGTGCTGCCTTATTGGCCAGCACAGGTCCGGCAAATGCAAAGTCAGGTCAATTTAAGGTTGTATCCGGTATAATGATCTTATTCCTGATTATAGTAGGAGTGAATGCTTTCTGCATAGTTAATTCCAAACATTTATGAGTCTTTATTCCATTGAGAATCTGAAGTTATCCATTCTCTTCCCCAAAAATGTATATATGGAAATATATAAACCTTTGATTCAGTTCACAGACTCACAGAAGCATTTTCAGGGCTTCTCAAGAAATTAAGACCCCTCCTCACTGTTATTCCTAGCATTTTACTCTGTAGTAGGAAATTGGCTATTGTTTTGAGCAAGACATTTTTTTTATGAGTTAAGGAGGTATCTTCCTGTTTCAAATTTACTAAGAGTAATAGTCAAGAATGCGTCTTGAAACTTATCAAATGCCCTTTTGATCTTTAACATGATAATTGTGTGTTTATTGCTTTCTTATGTGTTAATCTCTGCTTCTTTCTTATTTTATTCCTTGTGCTTTTCTTAAGTTTTAAGGGTTTTGACTTTAACTATTTTCCATATAGCATATATGCATTATTTATGATAGTCTCCCCATCCCAACTGTTTTAAACATTCCTTGTTTTATTTCAGTGGAAAGCTTAGGAAAAGTAGTGTTAGATAAATACAGGCACATTTTCACTTTACTTTTTGTCCCTTGGATTATAAATATTTATTAGAAACAAAATTTCTAAAAACCTTTTAGCTATCATAAAAAATAGAACTGTCTCATGTGCATTTCTCTTCCATAGTATCATGAAATTTTGTTTGTGGACTCAGACACAGAAGAGGCTGGGGAAGCACCCTACGAAAGTGCCGGTAAGTAAAGTTCCTAAAGTAATGGCAAGGGATTTGTGGACGTGGATGTTCATCACAGCAACACTTGGAGCAACAGAAAGCTGGTAATGACATCAGCGCTAACTGATAAGGGGCTGGTAGGATGAAGGATGATTTGTGCAATACTAGCCTTGGCTATTAAAAAGCAAGCTCTTTTGCTCCGCCTGCCTTCCGTTTGGTCTCTGAGGGGCTCCTGTCCCCTTAACTGATCTGGACAGCAGCTTCCTCTTATTTCATCCTTCATCATCTTCCAAAAACTTGTGTAAATAATTTCTTCCTTGGTGAGCCACACTCCTTCTTTACTTTACAGTGAACAATTTCCTGCCTTCGCTGGATTGTCTGTGTGGGTGTGTGAGTGTGTGTTCATACTCTGGAGGGAACAGAAGTACACAGTGCGCTCAGTGAGCTCTCTTGCACTAAGAGCTCATCATAAGAATGTGTGGATAAATGAGGATACATCCGTAGTTGGTAAATCCATCAGTTTGTAATGTCTGCTAACGTTGAAACTCCACTCACCAGCGACGCTGAGCTGGATGGATCACGAGTGTGATTCTAATGCATGTGAATTGTATTGAAATGGCTAGAGCCCACCTACTATTTTTCTTTTTGAGAGAGGCCCTGTTGACTACAAACTGTTGTGAATGTTTCTCCTGCAGGCAAATATAGGAACTGCAATTTGATTCCAAGTAGAAACCGGTGGTTGAAACACCATAATAAGAACAAAGCTATCAATGGACAAAAATTCACTGGACATTAGTAGTTTACATTTCTACTTGCCAATCCCTCATTATCTAGACTTTTTTCCCCAAAATGAAATTCTTCTATTTTTTTTCCTAGAGCAAATATGCAGCATTGCTATTATCAAACCTGATGCTGTGATTACTAGAAAAGATAGAGAAATTAAAGAAAAAGTAAGTAATATTTACCCCAAATGGTTTACATTAATTGCAAAATAACAACCCTTAATTGTCAACTTAGAAACAAGCTTATCATTTAGAGTAAAATAGAACATAAAGAACTTTTGGTGCTAGGCACCTCTAAAGGCTTTGAACGTTTTGTCTTTACAAAGGCTAGAAGTACTCAAGCATCCTTATTTAAATAACTGCTCTACCAGCATCTGATATAAATGATGGGAGTTCTAGCTCTTATAATGGATTGTGACACACGTTCTTCATGTTTAGTTATTAGCAATGCGAACTTGTCATAAGCTCACATTAGCTTTCTTTATTCCCTGTGTATTGTCACAAATGTAGGTCCTTTCCAGATACATGATATCTTAAGGAAGTATTTAACATTTTGCTTTAGAGCCAAAAAAAACTTTTTGGAGGAGAATTGCATTGTCATCCAAAGAATAGCAGACTCTTCCTGGAAAGGGCCAGATTGTAACTATTTTCTGCTTATGAGGCACGTGATCTCTGTCACGACTGCTTAGTTCTGCCATCTTATGGAGAAACCAACAAGAGGTGGTATGGAAACAAACAGGCCTGGCTGTGTGCCAAAAACAGGTGCTGGGCCAGACTGTGCCTGAGGGCTGTAGTTTGCTGACCCTGAACAATGACTTTGTGTTGAAACAAGAAGATTATATTGAAATTTGAAAGAATGTTGCATGTGCACTAGAGGAGATCCCATAGGGAGCTCGGTGAGGAGGGGTTGATACCTCCGGATGAAATCCCCATCATGTATTCTTCCTTTAGCTATAGCAGCATTATCATTGATCAAACTACAATAAAGTAGATGGTCCACGGGTCATGGTACACATGCTCTCTCTTCCAATTATGAGTTGATTTAATTAATATCACTCTATAAAAATCACCTTCTGTTTTTCCATATTCTGGTGGGTTTACTGGGAGGGGGGACACCCAACTGTACCCCAGTACCCTATATACTGCTTATCCTTTATAAAGTTTTCAGAAATAATATCACATACAATGGTTTACTGTTTCTTATTTGAGAGTGGTTTACTAGCTTTTTCAAAATTATGTCATTTTTTTCTTAGTTGAGGGAATACTATTAATCATCAGTTCATCTGAATTTTTTAGTTTTGACATAGTGAACGACATTTCAGAGACGTAAATTATGACTATCTACTAAATACTTCACCTCTCTGGAACACAGTGAGCAGCTACATAACAACTAGGACAGAAAAAACAAAGAATGTTTTGAATGAAAAGAAAATGAACACACTGCACTTTTCAACTATGCTAAAGGAGAAGTTATTAAGTTTAAATGTTGCTTGGATTTTCCGTTCTGTTGTCAGGCACTAAGTAACAACAAAGACATGATTTGAGTATTTAGAATGTGTTCAAGTTGGAATGTCAGTTAGGAGAGGGGTCACTAAGATGTAAGTAATGCTCTGTGATGTCCACGAAGCCAAGGCAACCAGTGCAGTGTCTGCTTTCACACTAGAAGTAGAACATACCTGTTCCAGGATCCTCCAAAGTGAGCTCAAATGATTGGCATGGTTTAATGTAATTACTGAGTTGCTTTGAACACAGATTACACTTATATTTAATTGTTTGGTACCTCATTAGACTTGTCATATTCATCTCAAAACTTCTGTTTGTTACATTTTTTTGTACCTGAGTGACGTGCAAACTGAATTTGTCATTAAATTTAATTTTCTTTAAGACAAGTAAAGCATGGCTAAATCTTAAATCCTATCCTTCCCCATCATTTGGATATTTTTGTTTCTATAAGAATAAGATATATTAGATTATGAATTATAGTCAACAAAATAAATCCTTAAAAAAAAGAAAGTTAGAACAATTTTGAAAATAGATGGTTAAGAAGTGCTTGTAAATTTATGTCTTTGCAAATGATTCAGAAACTGTTATATCTTTCCCTGGAATTTGGTTAGTTTTTTCACATTTTGAGGCAATTCACTTAAATAATAGAAATATTGCGGAGTCTCTGGTTGAGGCCTTGAAAACTTAACTACCAGGGGATGTGAAAAGGCATTCTTTATTTATATATTTTTGAGCTTCTTCAAACCTAGTGCCCTATGGATCATGCTGAGGTCTTTACATGATACATGTTCAAATCTGAGTGGTTTGTTAAGCCCAGGAAACGAATGTCCTTGACTTGTTTTACATGTGGTCCCATGACACGTCTGGATCTAACTTTACTGTCTAATTGAAGATTATCAAGGCAGGATTTGTCATAGAAGCAGAGGATAAGAGAGTGCTCACGGAGGAACAAGTAAGGGACTTCTACAGTCGAATAGCAGACGAGGTAAGAAGTTAAAAAAACAACAACAACAACACTGTGTTCCCAAATATGGTGGATTCCTATAAGTTTTAGATCCTCATTAAAGAAAAGCAAGTGAATAAGCCTAACCAACCAAATGAGCTCCGAATGTCCCTATTGGTTTCTATATCATGGAAATACCAAAGACGGCCACTATGGAGAAATCTCTGGAACAAATTTGGCAGCTGAGCAAAAGTGGTGGTCTACTGTGTTTCGTTGGAGTGAACACCTTGTTATGCTGTGTCCTCTAAGACTCCTTGATCAGCCCGCCGGAAGTGTGAATATCCAGGCCTTTCCCATAGCTTTTTATCCCAGGTTAATGCTCCTTGTCATTAACTTCACAGTCAAGCTTTATTCTTTTTTACCTAAAGGCTTTTCTCTCAAGACATATTTTAAATTCTCTTTTGCTTGAGGAAATATAATACAGGCAATGCCGTGTATTGGAAAGTACTCTGGCTTTTGGGTCAGGAGACTTAGCTTCTAGAAATGCTCTGTCCAATGTGGTAGGCATTAGATACATGTGGCCATTTGAATTTAAGTTCATTAAAATTAAATAAAATGAAAAATCTAGAGTCTTAGTTGCATTAGCCACATTTCAAGTGCTCAATAGCTGCACGTGGCTACTTGTATTGGAGAACGCAGGAGAACAGGTTTATTGTCACAGAAAGTTCTATTGGACAGTACTTTGTAAAACCAGCTGTGCCACTCAAACCATCTCTCTTGACCCCAACTTCCGCACTTGTAAAAGGAAAGGGTTGGACCAGCTGCATCAGCATCTCCTGGGAATCTTTGAGAAAATCCAATTCCTAGGCCCCACCCTAAACCTGCTGAATCATAACCTCTGGGATTGGACTCCAGAAATCTGTATTTTAACAAGCCCACCAGATGATTTGGAAGCATCCTAAAGTTTGAGAACAGTTATTAGACTCTCTTTAAGATCAATCCCTGCTAGCGGTGAACGTCTATCCTTCAAAGATTTGTTTATAGCAAGAGGTTTGTAAGAATAACATTCCCTTGCCTGTGATCATGGAAGGGAAGATGTCACTTGGCTTGGGTAGTGGCCGCCATTTTGGTCTATGCATTTCAGGAGCCAAAAGTAAATGGTTTATCATTTTATTTTTTAGCCTGAATTTGAAGATTTTGTCCGTTTTATGACAAGCGGCCTAAGCTATATTCTAGTTATAGCTCCAGGAAATGAACGACAGCCTCCCTGGGAAGAAACTGAAGCTAATCCTGAGACTGAACCCAAAGAACCATCTGAAGATCAAGAGGAGACAGCCACGGCGATGAAGACAAAATGGGAGAGGTAGCTTGAGACCAGAAAATGTACCACTGACAATGTGTTAGTAGGTAATGAAGTGTAGGACCCGATAATAACACTAAGGTCCAAATATCTCAAAATCTAAAGACAAACACTTTTATGCTGAAGCCACACATTTTATGTTGAAGCTCAAATACTGTATATTCAACAAAGCTGGGATTGCCCTGAAAGTTTATGTCAAGGGGATTACAAAGGGAGGACTTTTCCCTGCTTGTCTTTCTAAAGGTGGGCACACCAGTCTGGCCTCATGGCCTGGGGCTCCAGGGGTAGGTAGAGACCCACGTAATCCCTCCCAACCCCATCTTCTCTCCCATTTCCCCACATTCCACTTTCACCTTCCCTGTGTCCTAAAGACATCGTGGGTACTCTGCCATTCTTCTTAAGGCAGTTAGTGATTGTAAATTGCTGAGAACTAAATAGTTGTATATTTTTGTTAATGGGTTTTAAAATATTTGAAAAGGAACATAAGTAATTTGCAGAATGTCAGTTTTATGCACTGCCATTTGTGCCTTTTATTCCTCTGAAGACTCAGAAAATCCAGAGTTTAACACAGGAGCTGGCAGAGCTGTGCCTGAAAGAAGGTGGGTGAGCAGGAACCTGTTGAGAGTAGCTGAGTCTTGAGGCTTCACGGTGTGTGTCTCTTCGTGCCAGGCAGCCCGTCTCCATTGCATTTTCTGTCTGGGAATCTCCAGAACTTTCCTTGTTGTCTCATTAATGAATTGTAATGGCTTTTCGTGAGTAGCGACATCTGCTGGTTCCTAGTGATGTCATACATTTTAGGTAGCAAGGAGACCCTAATATCATTAATTCCAAGTTTTGAGTGGGACAGAGGGATTCATAAGGTAAATCAACTGCTGACAAAGGGCTTTATAAACAGTAGTAGTCACTGTCAGAATTTTAAGGGAAATGATAATCAGTGGGCAGAGGGAAGGTTTAGATGGGCAGTATTGGGCTCAAAAAGATATCAGATTTCATACCAGAGTTTTTGAGCCATTAAAAAAAAAAGCGTTGTATGAAACACTCATTAATGCACCTGGAATAAGAGAAGTCAGTGTTCCACTGTAGTGTTCAGGTACGTCTCCATTGCATCCAACTTTGAGAAGCTACTTGTCTCCAGTTGTTCAATACCGACAGAATAAGGTGACCAATTGAGGCAGTTGGCGGGGTGGGGGCAGAGTGTGATGTATTAATGTTGGCAAAGTCTGCAGTATTTTCTATTAAACTTAGTGATTCCATTTGCCTTTGGCCCATGTTTCTCCCAAGCAATGGCCGCAAGCAGGCAGCATGGAGTGGGGAGCGTGTTTGTCTGGGGATCGTTTTCACAGTTCTCGTTCTGGAGGCAGGCCAAACAGGTGCTGGGCACCCCCCACCTGCCATCTTTTAAGTAGATCCAGAACCTAAAGGATCAAGGACAAAAACTCTCACGAATAATTTAGACATTTGTTCACTTTTACTTTTTTTGCCACCCCGCCCCCACCTCAAAGCCTCCTCACCTTCCTCTCTCGGTGGTGGGGGATGGGGGTGAGGCAGAAGGGAAGTTAAAAGCAGGGCAATTAGACTGGCAGTGATAGGTGGCCCCTTCCATGAACATGAGCACATGTAGGACAGCAGAGCCCTGGTCTTTGTCAGCTTGATTATCCCTACAGAGAAAAACGCTCACAGTCTGTGAACCCACATAGCATGGGAAAAATTTCTCCATGCCAACGATGTCCCGTTTGATCCAGTGGCTGGGAGAAGGGAGGGTGAACCAGGAAAACAGGACACAGGCACCCACGTTTTTCATCCAGATCCCAGATTCCTTCATGATGGCCTTTTATCACATTATTTATATTATCTGTTTACGTGTCTGTCTCCTTAATCAACCTGTGTGTTAAGAACTCAAAGGACAGTGTCGTTTGACATTGTGTAGTCATCGTGCGGAAGAGGGAGGTGTGGATCGGTTAGCTACATAGCCCAGAGTCATATCAGTAGTTACTGGCAGAGTCTTCGCTCATTCATTTATTCATTTTGTCATGCATCCTTTCATTCATGTAATATTTATTAAGGTCCTTCTATGTGCCGGTACTGGGGATACAAAGATGGGGAAAGATTAGGTGATCTCTAAAGTTTTTTTCAGCTTCAAATCTTTATGACTGAGTGAGGATGACAGTTCCTACCTCCTATAATGTATTGTATTTCTCTATCTGTAGAAAGTGTCTGTTTTATTCTTGGCCACCTATTTATCCCTATATATGTCGTAGCTATAGAGAGCTAGTTTTCTCTTTTATGAAATTCTCATTTAAATTAAAGATAATGGATACAATACAACTCCTAAAAATCATCTTTAAAATATGTTTCTGGGATCAGAGCAGTCTGAATTCTATACCTTGGCTCTCTGCTCCCATCGCCAGACCTTTCTTGCCCCTCCTGCATCAAAAGGAAACTGCACTGGTAAGCAGCTGGCCATAGGTGAGGCCTGGAGCTCTGTTTAGGTCCCCAACTAAAGAGAAAGGGAGGGTGGGGTGGTGCTTTCTCTACTGAGAAAGGAGGCAAGAGCCTGGAGACAACCTGGAGCTGAACTTGGGAAGGACAAATGTGGACTTATGATTCCCAAGGGCAAAGTTGACATGACTTCACTGGCCCTGCCTGACTCCTGGAAGTCAAGATGGAGCTGAGCAGGATTACTGACTGCCTTGCCCGTGAAGTCCACTTTACTGAGGGCTTCGTCCAATTGTTCCTGCAGGGGAATGACAGCCTGCTGGCTTCTGCAGCTCAGGCTTGTAGCCTAGAGGCCACTTTGCCTTCCAGCTACAGTGTTTCCAACACTTAACCCACCAAAAACCAGACATAAGCCCCAATGAGCCAATGAAGAAAAATGACTACCCACCTAAGGGAAACTCGTAGCCACAAAAGGGAAGATCTACTCAAAAATCAAAACACAAGCGGGGCTGGCCCCATGGCCGAGTGGTTAAGTTCGCGCACTCCGCTGCAGGCGGCCCAGTGTTTCGTTGGTTCGAATCCTGGGCGCGGACATGGCACTGCTCATCAAACCACACTGAGGCAGCGTCCCACATGCCACAACTAGAAGGACCCACAACGAAGGACATACAACTATGTACCAGGGGGCTTTGGGGAGAAAGAGGAAAAAAATAAAATCTTTAAAAAAAAATAATCAAAACACAAGCTCAGTGAAAAAGAACTGCTAGAGACAGAGAAGTCCTTAAATAAAATGTTAGTAATAATAATAATAATAATTAATAATAATACTTGAGATCCAAGTGCTACATTCACATAAGAAAAGGAATTTCAAATTTGAATTATAAAAACTGTAATTTGAAGTATCAATTCACTGGAGAATTATAGGATGTGATGGTCATTTGAGACTTGAATTAATGATGTGAAAATCAGATGTAAGAAATAGCTCAAAGAACAGGAAAAAATGAGACCGACATCATGAGAGCAGATATAAGCGATCTGGAGAATATACTGGGGAGACCAATGTGCTAATAAGAGAAATTCCATACAGAGAAGAAAGAGCAGATGGATAACCCGTAAGTCAACAAAGAATAGGGAAAAAAATTCCCTGGAATGAAGAAGCACGTGTATCTGCCAATTGAAAGTGCTTGCCGTGGTCCAGCCTTGACTGATGCTAAAAAACACGGATACAGGAATATCCTGTGAAAAACACTGTGCACCGTCTCCAGACAGGAAGAATAGGCAGTGGTGTATTTAATATATTTGAAACCCAGAGCAGATAATTTTCTTAACACCCCTCTCCTCTATATGACAGTATTATTGTAAATACTAATTATTGAGTGAGACAAGTAATAACGGCCAGGAAAGAAACATAGCGAAAATTGTCTTTTATGGAATTTTGTATATGAACATGTAAGCAAAAAATAAAAATAAACATTATAATACCAAAAGTGAAACAAGTAACAGGTTAATAATATTTAAACATATCTTTAAACAAAGGAAAAAACATGCTTACCTGTATCTATGAGTCCATCACGGGAATGAAGTAGGGTGTTTGTTTGTAAGCTTCAGTTTTTGAAGATTTTTCAATGACATTCTCAAACTGATCTTCACTGTATATCCATGTTTAATACACAAAGGTGCATGAAACTCCTCTTTCACAATAAATTCAAGAATTTGCAATACTGCCAATAGCTTTGTTATTTTAGGATTCATTCTTCTATGTAGAGTACATTGTTTATTAAAGATAAGTAATAAAAATGTGCTAACTTGAAGCTTACATATATATTATTAAAATTCAACACTGACCACAGGAATTGTTTAGAATTTAGATGAACAAAATTTTTTTTTTGAGGAGGAGTCTTTTATCACTAACATTATTTAGAATTGCTGGTGCATAGTGATGATAAGAAGCAGCCTGACTTAGTTGGCTTTAGTATCAGTTTAAAATTTCTCTAGCAACAGTGCACCCCCTAGTAATTTAAACTTTTGGTAGGCCCCTTCCACCGACTCCACATCTGCAGCACCTGAGAGCAAGTTGCTTACAAGGGAAAATATCTCTGATTGGCACAGGACTCGTCATCATCCTACTGAGAGAAAATGACTACAAGCCCTGCATTCTTCACGAAGCCAGGATATCATTTACCGGTGGAGCAAAGGAGGATGTTCAAGGACGTGCTTAGGAACGTATCACCTATATACCCCTTCTATGGGAAATATTTGAGGAAAGACTAGACCAAACAAAAAATGAAAAGAGACACCTCAACATGGGGGATAAAAGAGAAGGGAAACAGTTGTTAGCTATGAGCCTTGGAATTTATAAATACACACACACGCATATATACACATTACACAGTTCTGGGTTATACAATATAATAGCTAATGAAGGACTCTTGAAATAGAAGACAATGCTGATAGATTCTGAATTATCTCAACAAAACCTAGGAGTCGCTGAGCACGTGTGGCAAAATGGTTCAAAAGTCTCAGACAGGAGACAGGAAAGATGAGATGAAGAAGGTAACACAGTATTTTAAGGTTCTCATTTGAATTTGTGGAAGGGGGCACGAATGGAATGTTAAAGCTGGGAAATAGTGTGCCAGAATGCAAGAAATATTTGGAACCTATCTGTTTGATTACGGAAGCAGGTAAAAGATGGTAAAACATTAACATTAGTGGATGAGTGAGGTAGACCTCCATGCTGACAAGGGGAAAAACTGGAATGAACAGCAGCTTGCTCAGATCTGCAAAATAAGGGAAAGAAAAGACTTCAGTTTAAAATAAATGGTAAATATAAAGTAAGATGGAAGGAATATAGTCAAATATATGGTTATTATACTAAATATCAAAAGATTAATTATCCCATTAAATACAGAGCTTACCAGGCTAAGGTGGAAAAAAAAGAACTAAATTAAAAACCACTGTAGTAATAATTGATGCAGGCAAGAATCATCGATGGGTGGTAAAACCATTGTGTGAAAAATATATACAGTTTCAAATAGGGTCTTCACAGATTTCTTATTATTTATAAGTGGAAATTGTGGCTTTTCAGTGGAGAAAAATGAGGGATACCATTTTAACCACATTAATATCTCTAATAATGAGAAAAATTGACATCGCGTATGCCGCAATCTGATGTACTAAGAAAGATACAGCGCCACTTCTGTGGTATTCCTGCCAGAGAATCACGCCCAGGATGTTGTAGGAAACAACTGGGCCATCCACTAGCTTGAAACCATCCAAAACGAGGAACCATTTACGAAACAGCTGGCCTGGACTCTTCAAAATATCAATACCATGGAAGACAAAAAAGCTGAGACCCTTCTAGAAATTAAAGAAGTCTGCAGAGGTAGGACAACCACATGCAATGTGTGATCCGGGATTGAGAAAAAATTACTGTAGACAGGACAGTATTAGAAAATTGGTGAAATTTCAATATGGACTATTTATGAGATAACAGTTTTATATCAATTTAAAATTTCCTGAAGTATTCAGGAACGTGAATGGTTAAAATATCTGCAGCTTACTCTCAAATAGTTCACTAAAACACACACCCACACCCACACCCCCCCAGACCCCCCCCCCCCCCACACACAAAAGACTGTTATAAGTCAAGAATAAGTGAACAACCAATTAAGAAATGGGCAAAAGATCTGAAGAGACACCTCATCACAGAATACAGAGATGGAAAATTAGCACATGAAAAGATGCTCAGCATCATATGTCATTTTTATTACTGCTGAAGAGTCCATTCCAATGCCTAGTGACACTGTGTACAGCAGAGTGGAACGCTGCCGTCTTTTCACGCCATCCTCTCACCTGCTGGTGCTATATCAGACAATGCTCCGCTGCTATTCATAGGGTGTTCGTGGCCACATTTTTTCAGAAGTGAGTGACCAGGTCTTTCTTCCTAGTCTGTCTAGTCTGGAAGCTCTGCTGAAGACTGTCCACCGTGGGTGACCCTGCTGGTATTTGAAATACTAGTGGCATAGCTTTCATCATCACAAACGACACACAGTCACCACAGGCTTGACAAACTGACAGACAGGTTGTGTGGGTTCTCTGACTGGGGAAATGAACCCTGGCTATGGGGGTGAGAGCATTGAATCTTAACC